GTCGATTTCTGTTTATTTAATAGCTTTATAGTTACTAACACATTCTTCCCACATAAAACAGTCCATCAAGGCACATGGATGCATCCAAAAACAAAACAATGGCACATGTTAGATTATGTACTAGTTAATCGTAAATTTCGATCTAGTGTACAGGATGTACGAGTTCATAGAGGTGCTACTGGTGGTATTGGAACAGATCATCATTTATTACGAGCTAAAATTCGTTTACATCTGAAATCTCGTAAAAAAACAGAGAAAAAATATCGGATAAGACTTGATCAATCAAAATTGACAGATAATAATTTACTCTCTGCTTTCCGAATTGAATTAGCGAATGAAAGCAAAGCCATTCGGGGCGATAATAAAACCTTATCGGTGAATGAAAAGTTCACAAATTTTGTTAACAGTGTTCGAGAACGTGGTAGACACTACTTTGGAAACAATAAAAGCATTCATAAAGGCGGAAAAGAATGGTTCACACCCGAACTAAAAGAAATTGTTGATAAAAAAGCTAAAGCATATGTAGACTGGCAACTGCACCGTAATACAACCAACGAGAATAAATATAGAAACAGATACCAAACGTTGGCAAAAATCGTACAAAACAAAGTATATGCTAGGCAACATGAATATTGGGAGGAGTTAAGCATAGAAATAGAAAATGCAGTCAAAGTACACGATCCAACAGCTGCTTTTCAAATCATTCGAAGGTTACGTGGAAATGGACCAAGCATAAATCACATACCAATCCAGGATAAGAACGGCTTAACGTTAACAAACAGTAAAGATCAATTGAATCGATGGAAAGAGTATTTTGATGAAATGCTCAACGTTGATACAACAGTAAGCGAACAAGTTTTACAACAAATTCCAAGTCCTACAGTTGATGATGAAGAGCTTTCTCGACAGGACGCTGTACCAACTCTTGATGAGGTTGTAAAGGCAATTGGACAAATAAAAGATAAAAAAGGTCCAGGAAAAGACGATGCACCAGCGGAACTCCTAAAAGCGGGCGGTCAATGTGTCGCTGAATGGTTACATGAAATTATTCACAATGTATGGGAACAGGAGATAATGGTAAAGGAATGGGCTGAAGCCATTATAATACAACTATACAAGAATAAGGGTGATAAACGGATCTGTGACAACTATCGAGGCATATCCCTACTAGATATTGCAGGAAAAATCTTTACCCGAATCATACTAAACCTTATTCAAGCTTCACTTGATCGAAAGCTGATGGAGGAGCAAGCAGGCTTTCGTTCTAGAAGATCCACCATGGATCAAGTCTTCACACTAAAAATGGTCATGGAGAGATCAAGAGAGTTTAATCAACCTCTAGATATGTGCTTTATTGATCTAAAGAAAGCATATGATTCTGTCAATCGAAAAGCACTTTGGCGAGTGTGTCGAGCATATGGATTATCACAAAAGATAGTTCGAATGTTGCAACTGCTATATGAGGATACATCTGCTCAAGTTCGGATCGATGATGACATTAGTGAAAGCTTTATAATGAACACTGGTGTGAGACAAGGATGTATTCTCTCTCCAATCTTGTTCAATATATATGTTGACTATATTATGAAACAAGTAGTTCAACAAGCTAACGTTCAAGGTGTCACGTTATCATACCGTCTTGGTGATTTCTGGCTTTCTGGTAGAGGACATGATAGTCATAATGTACATCTATTGACCTTAATGTATGCAGATGATATTGTTGTCATGTATGAAAGTCCAAAAAATCTAGAACATTTTGTAAAAGTGTTCGAAACAATAACTAATGATTTTTGCCTAAAGATGAACATTCAAAAAACATGTACTATGTCATTAAAACAATTCGAGAAAACAATTGGAAAGAATGAAACAAAAAACAAAAAGAATGATGCGCCACTAAATCTTGTTATTCGAGATCAGAATATAG